ATCATTAGATATTCCATACCGCATAGTTTGTATTGCATCAGGTGAAATGAATGATTCAGCAAGTCTTAAATATGATATTGAGGCATGGTTTCCTGAATCTCAAAAATACAGAGAGTTAGTTAGTGCATCCAATTGTACAGATTATCAATCAAGGAGTATGTCAGTTTATTATGGAAATGTAAAAAATAAAACTGAAAGACCAGTCTTTGTACACATGCTTAATGCTACACTTTGTGCAGTACAAAGAAGTTTATGTTGTATTGTAGAAAATTATCAAAATGATGATGGAACAATTACAGTTCCTAAAGTTTTAAGAAAATTTTTAAATTTTGATAAATTTTAATTTTTATTCGAAAATTTTTGTTCCAACTGAAACAAATTCTTTATCAGTGTTAGAATTTTTAGTAAACAAAGGAAACTTTAAATTTTCAGCAGAGTAAGTGATTGCCTTTTGTCTTGTTAACTTAGAGATATCATTAATTACATAAACTTCACGGATAAAGAATTTACTTGAATCAATTCCATGTCTTGATCCAAACTCTTGGTAAAGAATGGTGATAGCACAACACTTGTTAATTGCTCTAATTTCCTTATGAGCGTTATGTTTCCCAGTTGGTGTTTGATAAACAAAATCTATTCCATAATTTTTAACAACAAAATCACTTTCTTGTTCAACTTCCTCACAACTTATTTTAACAGCCTTAGAAGATTTAATTTTACATTGTTGATTTAAATGATCTCTAAATGCCTTTTCTGCTAAAACAACGTTTTTAACATAAACTGTCATGAAATACACTTGTGGGTTTGATTCTTCATTAGTTGGCTCTTTACATCCTTTAACTACATATTCATTAACTATTGGTTTTGAATAATCAATTTTACTGAACTTAAACATGGGTTAAAAACTTTTGATAAAAATTTATTTAAAATTCTTTAAATGTTAAAAGAATCTTTTACATCTCTAGCTGCTTTACCTAACATTGAAGCTAATCCTTTATTGACTTTAATACCAGCTAAACTCTCAAATGTTCTCTTTTCTATTCTATTTAATAACTTCTTATAATCATCTTCTAATATTATTCCATTATATAAAAACTCATTACAAACTAACACTATCAAATCATATTTAAGTTCAATTCTATTAAAACTCCACTTCTTAATATACTTTTCTAATGCCATGATTAAATTATCCATAGCATTTCTTACAAACAATTCATTTGATGTTGATTTACTTAAAAGAACAATTTGAATATCTGAACTCTCTGATGTATGTCTTGTATCAACCATCATTGTATAATTATTGTATACACCTATTTCATCTCTACCAATATTGTTTAAGAGATCTTTTATATCTATCTTATCAAAATTCATACTATAAAATACTTTCCCTGCTGTGTTATGTATACCTAAATATGCTACGTCTTTTATTGATAGTTCTATACTCATGAAGGGTTATTTTAAATTTAATTTATTCTTTAAAATTTATTTTAAATCTTT